GACAAAAAAATACAATTAAATTTAATACAATTGACATTATTTTTTATAATAATTTTGAAAATTATATTTAAAAATATGTAATATACATTCATATATAATATTATTTAATGAACATTTAATGGTAATATTTTGAGTATTTTACATTTTTGAAAGAAAAAAAGAAAGAAAAAAAAAACATATATATATATATATATATATATATATACACACACGTTTATGCAAATTTAATAAATATAATACGTTACATAATACATAATACGTTTCATGTTTTATATTTAAGTCATTTTGAATAATGCCTATTTAAGAAATACACAGGAATAGAAATTCATGTAAAATATCATATAAACAAATATAAGTATGACAAAAATAAAATTCAATTGACATTATTTTTATAGTAATTTAGAAAATTATATTTAAAAATATGTAAAATACATTCATATATAATATTATTTAATGAACACTTAATGGTAATATTTGGAGTATTTTACATTTTTGAAAAATATATAGACATAAATATATAAATATGTTTATTAGAATTATATGAAAACGCTAAATATGGTAAAATTAAGAAATCATTTATTTTACATAATATTATTTTGAATATTGCATTTTTTTTATTTGTAAAAAAAAAGTTAATCTTGTTACTAACTTATTTTCATGGTATATTTTTGAATATCGTAGTAGTAGCATCTGATATCATCATCTGTAAAGAGTTAAAGTGCTCATTTCTGAACGTATTGTAAAAGAAGTTCTTTGAGCTCTGCGACAGCACAAGCATCTTTGGGTTTATTCAGAGCAGCAGTCAGGGACCATTACAATACAGAGCTCTTCTGAGCGGATTATTAACGTTCTGTTTCCATGGCGTTTCTTTTCATCCCCAGTGTTCTCCATGCAGACGGCTCTCTATAGACGAGCCAGGTTATCAGCAGGACTGAAGCACTAATCCCCGGCCAGAAATGACTGTCTTCCGAGCCTGTTTGTCTGCTTTTTCCCCTCCCTCTCAAGTGGAAAGATCCACTCCACAAGGTCACGCTCAGAAAAGCATTGAGCGGGAGTCAGGAAAATGACATACCTGAAATATGATGAACAGCCGCCCCGACCAGCCAAACGGCAAAAAGCAGATGGCAATTAATACCTAGACAGGGAACGGATGAATAAAAGAGAGCAGGAGGAGGGCGAGAACCAGAAAAAGGGCGAGAATGGATACATTAGGGTGCGTGTGTTTACTCAACTCCAGAACATGACACTAAAAACAAGTGCACGGGAGAATTAGTGTAACCTCGTTTAAAAATATTTTAAGAAATAAAGTAGGCCTACTTAAATTACCTGTGAGAAATATTTGATGTTCTGTGACAGACACTTTGGAGTCAAAGCACACAGTCTGAAACTAATGAAGCCTCTAACTACCACAGACAGGCATCTTTTAGACAGCGATTTCTATGTTTGACACATCTGTGAACTTGAAATATCTATAATGTGCTTTACACCAATTCCCAAAAAAAAAAGAAGCATTTGCTGAAAATGTATCCTCAGGCCATCCAAGATGTAGAGGAGTTTGTTTCTTCATCTGAACAAATTTGGAGAAATGTATCATTGTACATCAGCTGATCACCAATGGATCCTCTGCAGTGAATGGGTGCCGTCAGAATGAGAGTCCAAACAGCTGATAAAAACATCACAATAATCCACAGGTAATCCAGTCCATCAATTAAAGACGTGTGATGTGAAAAGCTGTGTGTTTGCAAGAAACAAATCCATAATTAAGAAGTTTTTAAACTTCAAACGGTTGATTCTAGCTAAAATACGAGTCCTTTATCCGTAATATTGCTTAGTCTCATCTAAATCAGGACAGAAATATGCACAGATCAAGCACTGTTTATAGGCGAAAACATTCCGAAACTGTTCTTAACAAATATGTTGGTAGATTTTGATGTGAAAGAACAACAGGCAATGGACTTTTTCCACTGTTTTTCTAGAATAGTCTGGTAATTTGGCCAGAAGTCATGGTTTGATGTTAAAATGCCTTAATGATGAATTTGTTTCTTACAATCAAGCAGGGTTTCACAAGATGTCATTTGATGGGCTGGAGTCATGTGGATTATTGTGATGTTTTTATCAGCTGTTTGGACTCTCATTCTGACGGCACCCATTCACTGCAGAGGATCCATTGGTGAGCAAGTGATGTGATGCTACATCTCTTCAAATCTGTTCTGATGAAGAAACAAACTCATCTACATCTTAGATGGCCTGAGAGCGAGCGAATTTGGGTGAACTTTTCCTTTAAACATTACTAAAAATTTTACTTTTCTAAGGGATTGTATTCACAGCTTTCAGTCACAGAGGATGATAAAACACGTAGAAAAATACAATGGACTTACATCCAAAGAGGGACCTGATCAGTATCTAGTGATCATCAAACAGAGTCTTGAGGGTGGACTCTTTTGACTTAAGAGAATAAAAATAGCCTAGTAAACACCAGAATACCCTAGTAGTAGCCATATATTATAACATTTACATTTATGCAGAACCATTTTGGGTTCCAGAAAAAACCTTCGAGTAAATGGTTTTTAAAAGACAAATTTTTTTTCTTAATGTGAAGAACATTTTAATCACCTAAAGAACTTTTTTTCCGCAATAAAATAACCTTTTCTGCAATGGTAAGGTTCTTCATGGAACCACAGATGCCAATTTTCACTCAGTTCACTGGAATACAGAAACGATCTCAACATTTATGCACTGTCTCTGGCTGCTGAGGTCTACTGTATGATTTTCTCGACACACACCGTGCAGGAGTATTTGTGAGCTCTGAGAGTTTTGTAGACTCTAATCAAGTGTCAGGAATGATCAGGCTACAGAGAGGGCATGAAAAGCTGGTGTGAATTAAATCACAGCACATCTGCTCGAAACGTCAATCTCATTACAGCATCATCCTACACACGCTTTTCGCTCGGCGAGAGGAAAAATTACACTCTGAAAATGAAAATACAGTACGTGTCTGAAATGAATAGCAATGAAGACAACAAACAAGCCAAGACCGCCAGATCACGAGAAGAAACCTTTAACAAAATGACTTATGACAGTGACACTTCGGAAGTTGATGAAAACTCTCTCAACAGATGCTCTCAACAACAAACCTTGGTTTTCTGATGTGCAACATAGAAAAGTGAGGCTTATATTTGAATTTGGTCTGTATTTGAATAGAAATTTGGAGCAGATTAATGCTTAACTGCTCTGTCAGTGTTGGTGCAACTTGAGTAAACTGGTGAATTAGTTCTGACTCCGAGGTAATTGGTTTCTGTGAACTTCACTGAATGTATATGTACTCCCTAGGGCTAGGCCATGTTACAATACAGATGCAGTGCAATCATCAAAAAAAAAATAGTATGTCATATAGTCCGCACTATGCAATAACAAAAAATCCAAACGGAAGCAAGCTATATATTTAGACAGCCATAAGTTAAGACTATGATATTTTATATATATATATATATAAATAAAATATCTAACTTTTCATATTTTTCCATAAACATATTTAAACTACCATGACTTGAGTATATAAACAGTATATGCATGTGCTTTAGGGCTGCAAAACGATTAATCACAATTAATCACATTCAAAATAAAAGTTTATGTTTACATACTATATACTGTGTATATTTATTATGTGTATATAAATACACACATATATGTATATATTTTTTTTAATGTGTATATATATTTATATTGTATATAAATATATATACAGTATGTTTTATATAAATCCTTAATATATACACAATACATGTATGTGTGTGTATTTATATATATATAATAAATATACACAGTACAAGCATATAGTATGTAAACAAAGCTTTATTTTGAATGAGATTAGTCGCGATTCAGTGTTTTGCAGGTTTTGGTGAATGCAATGTATATTTTATATTTCTTTAAAGAATTATCTATATTTAGACTGTCATGAGTTAAGAATATCTACAGTATACATGCGGTTTATATCAAATCTTATGTAAAGCCATCTTAACTAAAATTCATGATCATCAAGTCAAAAGTATAAAAACATATACCACTGCTAATATGAATTCTGCATAATCAAACTGAAATGGAAGGTCAAAATAAGCAAAATATCTATATTCTCTCTCTTTCTCTCTATGTATTACACACGGCAGAGGAATAGTATGCTGTTCTGAACATACAGTGGTGTGAAAAAGTGTTGGCCCCCTTCCTGATTTCTTATTTTTTTGCATGTTTGTCACACTTTAATGTTTCAGATCATCAAACAAATTTAAATATTAGTAAAAGATAACACAAGTAAACACAACATGCAGTTTTTAAATGAAGGTTTTTATTATTAAGTGAAAACAAAATCCAAAACTACATGGCCCTGTGTGAAGAAGTGTTTGCCCCCCTGTTAAAACTGCCCCAATTTTGTATTAATTAATCCCCAAAAAAAACATGCTAAAACAGATGAATCCATCCTGTCAATTAGCACGGAGGGTCGAGATGTGCTAAAACTGCCTTCACTAAAAGTAAAGTTTAGCAATTTAAAAGCAGTTTAGGGGTATTTTATTCTTATCTAAAAGAGGTGTAAAGTCTTTATACTATAGATTATTTTATTTTAGGTAGCCAATGTAAACAGCACTCTAATGTCGGACAACAGGTCGTGTAAAATAACATCAGAGAAAGCGCAACAGCGCCCCCTAGAGACCACACTCAGAAGTGTCATGCATAACGCGTGCATTTTTTCCTGCATCAGTTTATATGAAAGCTCTGAATCCAGTCAACATACAAACTCATTTCATATCACAAAAACATAGGTAAAACGACAGAAGAGAAGATAAGCATGCAAATAAAATCAAAGAGGCACCACTGCACGTTCAAAAACATGTATTAGCATGATATATTGTCCAAAACAAACATTGCAGGCTATATATATCCAAAAATATACATAGCAGCACCATGGTACTTTCCTGTAATATATTTAAGCACGAAATATGCTTTCTTACCTCTTGAGACAGCTTTGGCAGGCAGTTTTCAAGAAATCCTTGGCTATGCAGAATGCATACGGCTCGCATGAATGAATCACCTCACCGGCTTTGAGTTCACGCAGAGCACGCAAACCATTTCCTTTAGCCTCACTGACAAACCTCTCCATATTCACAGCCATCATATCACAGCAATATCATCACTCGAATTCAGCGTCCATGTGCCGACATACAGTTCATACACATTATGAACGCCCTGTTTGTATTCGTGACTGTCAACTTGACACGGCACTGCGCAGGTTATTAAAAAGCCGAAGCTCACTACAACACATTTCACCACGTATCAGATCTTTTCATAATTACTTATATATGTATAAATAGTTTATATTGAGACGAATGCTTGCTGCACATAATAATATTAGAATAACAGAAAAACAAGTAATAGAATAATAATAGCAATACATCCCAGAATGCGCAAAACTGACGCACTCTTGATCAGCATAGCATTTTGGCGAGTCGCGGCAACATGACGTACGTTGTGCGCAGCACCAATAGGATTGCGGAACAATCGGGTCAACAACATGCGGGCTTCAATGTCACAGACGCGCGTGCTGCGCAGCTTTCAGTAATGTAGGTCCCGTGGACAAGAACCATATTATTTGAGGTTAGTTTGGGTTCAAATTATCTATAAATGTGTAGCCAACAATCTGCATGTGTTTATTTTATCAGGAGAGACTGATAGTTAACGAGTAACGTTACGTTTGGGACAGAGTTATAGTAGGCTACGTAATGTGATGAATTTATGCCAAGGTCCAAATGTGCATTTATTGATGCATTAAGCATGTATTGATGCTTATCTAGTCATTTACATCTGTTACAAATTGCTCGTTGTGATTACAATCTATAGCAAATTATTGTATTGGATTTGTTTATGGAAATCCATATGTCAAAAGGTTTTGGAAGCCTGTGTAGTTCTGTATGTTATGAATTTGCCTATAATGCATATTATAAACAATATATTCATATTATATAATGCATGTTATATAAAACGCATAGGGTTTCATTTTCAAGCCGCGTAAAGAAACTTTAAAATGTTTTATGTATTGGGCAAAATGCAGTTTATATATATATATAATGCAACAAATTTACAGTAAAAAAAATAATAATTGGTGAGGTTTGGATTTGCTATTTTAATTGCATATTATATGATTTCAGGCTTCAAGCTTGTTGGTCATCATGGCAGCGTGTGGAGGATGTAGGTTCTTTGTCCTGACTTTAAGAACTCTATGTGGAACATCAAGATCTGCATCACCCTGCGTTCTGCCTTTAACTAAACACAGGTCTTTGTCCACCTCTGTGAGAACTTACTCTCTAGACCCATTCCCCTCTGGGTCAAGGAAGAGTCCGGCTCAGTTGGGCAAACCAGAGCGAATTTCTCCATCCTCAGGAGGCGTTCAGAGGAACCTCTCTGCTGTCGCCGTGCCCCTGCAGGGTCAGTTTCGCCCCCTCTGCCGGTACGATCCTTTAGATTTGGGCGATGTGGATGAGAACACACAGAAAGCGCTGGCCTGTAAACACCTGAGACGGTTCATCGTAGACCCTTCCCTCGCACGAATCGTGACCGACCACCTCGCTGGAGACATCGATGATGGGAAAGCTGTTATATTTGAGTGTAACCCAGGTGTGTGTTCCTCAACTAATAATTTAATGCTGTCAGTATTTGTAAAAATATTAATTTGGGTTTTGTCTCTGTCCGCAGGTCCTGGGGTGTTGACACGCGCTCTGCTGAACCGTGGGGCTCAAAGAGTAGTTGCCCTGGAAAGTGATACAAACTTCCTTACTGAGCTGAAGGTAGACATCCGAAATGATCTAATCTCATTCTGCTCACTGTCAGCTTTTATTTCCCTTATAAATAACCTAGAGGTGGGCAATATGGCAAAAATATCAAAGCACAGTATTTTTCAGGCAGGATGACAATCCAGTCTTATCACAATTCTTTTTTTTTATGTTGATTTTTAGACTATTTTGCAAGTTAATTAACTTATTTTCCTATTATGTTCCCTGTTTCCCCTACTGAATTAAGTAAATATATTTTGGATTGTTATTAAAACTACAACAATTATTCAGAACTCACCCTGAGGCCACCCAAGATGTAGATGAGTTTGTTCTTCATCAGAACAGATTTGGAGAAATTTAGCATTCCATCACTTGCTCACCAATGGATCCTCTGCAGTGAATGGGTGCCGTCAGAATGAGAGTCCAAACAGCTGATAAAAACATCACGATAATCGACATGACCCCAGTCCGTCTTTGTCCACCTCTGTGAGAACTTACTCTCTAGACCCATTCCCCTCTGGGTCAAGGAAGAGTCCGGCTCAGTTGGGCAAACCAGAGCGAATTTCTCCATCCTCAGGAGGCGTTCAGAGGAACCTCTCTGCTGTCGCCGTGCCCCTGCAGGGTCAGTTTCGCCCCCTCTGCCGGTACGATCCTTTAGATTTGGGCGATGTGGATGAGAACACACAGAAAGCGCTGGCCTGTAAACACCTGAGACGGTTCATCGTAGACCCTTCCCTCGCACGAATCGTGACCGACCACCTCGCTGGAGACATCGATGATGGGAAAGCTGTTATATTTGAGTGTAACCCAGGTGTGTGTTCCTCAACTAATAATTTAATGCTGTCAGTATTTGTAAAAATATTAATTTGGGTTTTGTCTCTGTCCGCAGGTCCTGGGGTGTTGACACGCGCTCTGCTGAACCGTGGGGCTCAAAGAGTAGTTGCTCTGGAAAGTGATACAAACTTCCTTACTGAGCTGAAGGTAGACATCCGAAATGATCTAATCTCATTCTGCTCACTGTCAGCTTTTATTTCCCTAATAAATAACCTAGAGGTGGGCAATATGGCAAAAATATCAAAGCACAGTATTTTTCAGGCAGGATGACAATCCAGTCTTATCACAATTCTTTGTATTTGTAAAAATATTAATTTGGGTTTTGTCTCTGTCCGCAGGTCCTGGGGTGTTGACACGCGCTCTGCTGAACCGTGGGGCTCAAAGAGTAGTTGCTCTGGAAAGTGATACAAACTTCCTTACTGAGCTGAAGGTAGACATCCGAAATGATCTAATCTCATTCTGCTCACTGTCAGCTTTTATTTCCCTAATAAATAACCTAGAGGTGGGCAATATGGCAAAAATATCAAAGCACAGTATTTTTCAGGCAGGATGACAATTCCAGTCTTATCACAATTCTTTTTTTTTATGTTGATTTTTAGACTATTTTGCAAGTTAATTAACTTATTTTCCTATTATGTTCCCTGTTTCCCCTACTGAATTAAGTAAATATATTTTGGATTGTTATTAAAACTACAACAATTATTCAGAACTCACCCTGAGGCCACCCAAGATGTAGATGAGTTTGTTCTTCATCAGAACAGATTTGGAGAAATTTAGCATTCCATCACTTGCTCACCAATGGATCCTCTGCAGTGAATGGGTGCCGTCAGAATGAGAGTCCAAACAGCTGATAAAAACATCACGATAATCGACATGACCCCAGTCCACCAATTAACATCTCAGGAAGTAAAAAGCTTAATGTTTGTTTAAATAAGAAGTTTTAACTTCAAACTGTTGCTTCCACTTAAAATAGTTAACTGTCCGTAATACTGCTTTCTCCAGTGAAAAAGTCATCTCATGACACAGATTAAGTGTTGTTTACTAGAGGAAGCATTATTATGGATTATTAACTGGTATTTTGACCAGAAGAAATGGTTTAAAAACATCTTAATGATGGATCTGTTTCTTACGAACATGCAGCTTTTCATTTCGCAAGACATTGTTTTTAAAAGCTATTTGAACTCTCATTCTGACGGCACCCATTCACTGCAGAGGATCCATTGGTGAACAAATTACACAATGCTAAATTTATCCAGATTTTTTTCTGACGAATAAACAAACTCGTCTTCTACATCTTGGATGGCCTGAGGGAGAGTACATTTTCAGCAGATTTTCATTTTTGGGTGAACTATTCCTTTAAGACCTAATGCACTGATCCAATATACTGACACGCATCCAGTCTCCTCCCAACTGTTCACCTTTACTTGATTATTATGGAGAAAATCAATGTCAATGTAACCGCGTTAGATATTAATCAAAAAACAGCACACCTCTAAAATAACCTTTGATCTTAAAAGGACCTGGAGGACAAACTGGAAGGGCAGCTGGATGTGGTTCATTGTGACTTCTTCAAACTGGATCCCATCGGCCACGGCAGCATGAAACCTCCCGCCATGTACTCAGAGAAGCTCTTCTCTGACCTCGCCATCTCTGAGGTTCCTTGGTCAGCAGGTTAGTGCCCTGAACATTCAGATTATTGTGAAAGGGCAGAAAGAAGGAAAATAGTGGAGTAAATGTTTTTTTATTTCTTTCCATTTCTTGAGCAGATGTCCCAGTCAAAATTGTGGGGATCTTCACACAAAGAAATGAGAAGAACATACTGTGGAAGCTGATTTACAACCTGTTTGAGCGCCGCTCCATTTTCCGCTACGGACGTGTGGAGTTGATCATGTTCATCAGCCAGAAAGAATACACGGTGAGTTTGCATGGCTCCAATCTACGGGAACGTTTAAGCTATATAAGTAGCAGGGGTTTGAGCTTTCAAGCTGGATCCAAGTATGAATTATGATTTATTTCTCTTTCAGAAACTAGTGACCCGTCCAAGAGATTATAAGAACTACCAAGCTTTCAGTGTTCTCTGGCAGATGGCCTGTGATATTGAGTTACTGCATGAGGTGAGACACTCTTATCATTATTTATGCATTATTGTTACCTTTTTCTGGGAATAATGATCAATTAATGATTGGTGTGTTTGTGCATGTACTGTTTTTGTGAATTTCTGCTTCTTCATTACCAGGAGCCATTGTCATCCTTTCTAACTGTATCCAAGAAGACTGGAAGGCCCTCCTCAAAGAACACTGTAAGTATTGGCACACGAGTACTATCACTTTAAGATTCAGCATCTGTTAAAGGGTTAGTTCTCCCAAAAATGAAAATTCTATCATTAATTACTCACCCTCGTGTTGTCCCAAACCCGTAAGACCTTCGTTCATCTTCGGAACACAATTTAAGATATTTTGGATGAAATCTGAGGGCTCTCTGACCCTCCCATAGACAGCAAGGTAACTACCACGTTCAAGGTCCAGAAAAGTACCAAGATGATCGACAAAGTAGTCTGTGTGTCATCAGTGGTTCAACTGTAAAATTACGAAGC